GTTGACAGTGAAATAACAGGGCAGGTAAGCCTTGTCCGCTAGTTGGCTCCCTGGAGATGTGTGACCGTGCATGCAAACTACACACGAATGGCTCCTCAAAATGTTCTGGGGACAACTTCAGTTCTCCGATGGTGATTCAGCACTCAATTCAGTTGCTGTTGATGAGCGAGAAAACTATTACGGCCATCTGATTGCAGGCTTTCGGTTACCCAGACCAACAGCATGAATGTAAGAGAAAGAGAGAAAAAAAAGAAAGAGATGGTCTTTACCCTACAATAACTGGTAGTGGTACAATATATCCGTCACTCTTTCCCCAAGGAAGTGTTCCGAACCTGACAGTGAAATTAGTGTAAACTGCAGCTTAGTGTTGACAGTAGAAGAGATACTCATGTCTGGAAATATTTGTCAAAAAGGTTTAAAGTCTACCCCACCACATTCAAAGCACTTTAGTCAATTAAGTGTTTGTAATGGCTTATGAAATAAAGTCCTGTGGAAGTTACATTCCTGCGATGGATCCCAGCACAAAGTCTTTAAATTCCGCGTCACAAAGACAGACAAGTACGGACCTAGTCAAAGCATCATTGCGTCCAATTTTTACCTCAGTATGTCCAGCAATAATAATTAAAAAACAGTTCTGAGATCACGTACAAGTCAAATTTCTCCCCAGACCATGGATGGTGTCCATATTACAAGCTGAAGAGAACTGAATCCTCTACATATTATGTATGCACTAAGAGAAAGAGCACTGCTTTACGACATGTCAGCTGCAGAGTGGGTAGTGAAAAGACCAACAGTCAGTGTGGAAATAATTCTGGTGTAGCTATATGAAATTCCTCCAGGAAATAAGCCACATTCCCAAAGAAAACACTACTCTGGAAGAAATGATGATCTTGTCTGATCATCCTCAGCTTGCTTGCACAACTTGCACAACATGCTTACCAACAACAACTTTTACAACCTGTGAGCCAACAACATACATAGCATCCTCAAACCCTGTATATGTGCCACGACCTGCACAGCAAAGTATGGCAACCTGCATGCCTACTTCATCACCACAAACTTGCACATACCTCCTATACTGCCACAACCTGCTTGTCTACCCATACCTACAGCCACCACTGAAGAGCAAATTAAAGAACTGGGACTAAGAAGGAAACGAGGAAATTAACACATCCATATCGAACTTATTTGTCTACCATGCACCTTCATACCTATACCTGCCTAATAGGTTAACCCTCCACAACCTGTGAACAGGAACGGCCAACATGCAAACAGTGCCACTCAATAGGTACCAATCTGAAAAAAACAGAAATATACAATCCTGAGAATTTGGAGAAAGAAGTGTTATCTGAAGAAATCTGCCTTTAGTGCATGTTTTTTGATGTGACCTAGGATGGCTCTATACTTTTCTCAGTGGAAATGAAAAGACAAAACTAAGAATGACAAATGCAGGGGAGGAAAATAGAATGATTTTGCTGCCACTAAAGTGTAACGAACAAGTGGAAATCTGGCAGGTGTTTCGTAATGAACAGCAAGTTTGCCTTGGACGAGGGAGGGGGGAATGATCGATACAGCAAGCATAAGATTATGAAAGATCGAAGTTTTTAATGATTAACGTTTCTCCAACGGGAGCTTAGCAGGAAGGCAGTAAGTGGATGGGTGGAACATCATATTATTATGCACCAAAATGTAACAGAGGAAAACCAAACGTCAAAAACAGTAAGAATGTGGAACATAGAAGTAAAGTTATGGCTAATGAAGAGGCAGCAAAGTAGGCAGTGAATATTTTGCCACTTACTATAGTGAAAACTATATACAAGATGGAAAGACCACTGCATGAACCTAGGTCAAAACACTCAGGACTTAAGAAAGGAGCAAAAGGTAGGTGAGAACCAGAAATATAAGATACACTATATAGCTGAAAGAGAAAGAGAATTTGGCACAACCGATGTCGTATCCTGCCATCCACTATAGCAAGTTTGCCCCTTGGGGCAAGCAAGAACAGCAATAACCTGAGAAATGAGACTGGAAATTCTTCAAAATACTATACATATATCAATTGTGTGGTTGAGTAAGGAACAATAATTATTTGTAGCATGATTCGTGGGTGTATCAAGATGCCAACAGTACGATAAATGCCATACTACAGAAAAATGGGAAAGGAATGGCAAATACAACATTATTATGCTGAACCACCAAGGAATTTATCAGTGATCCTCAAAATGGCTCTATTGACACAGAGCCAGTGTTTGACCTACTTACTTGGACTGAGTCACATTACTTTTGCACAGAGTTCTTTTGCTGAAGTACGTTTGTCCCACACCAATGCTGCTGACTCTGAAACGAAGGGAGAGGAGCCACTCTCGGCCTCGCCCTTCATGATACGACCGTTCCTACAAAGGTCTCGACTGACGGCCTACCACACGGACTTGGAGCAGTGCTTCTCCAGCAGATCGACAGTTCGTGGAGACCTGCATCATTTGCATCTTGCTTCATCTCGGAGATGGAGCACAGATATGCAAATATCAAGAAAGAGGCCTTGGCTACACAGCAAATTGGCCAATTTACTGATTGGGAAACACTTTATAATAAGTAATGACTCGACAACACTGCACCCACAAACAACAAGGCAGCAAAAACTCTTAGGAAATTCCAACCATAAGTCCTTAACTACTTCAGTACAGTATGTAAGGCTCAGTGAGGGTCGAACCTTTTCCACATTTTTATTTTCCTTATTTCCAATTTCTTCGATACAGTGTAGGCTTCGGTAAATCTTTTTTTCTTGGTCACTCAGTAACAGTACTGTAAGGCTCAGTGAGGTTGAACCTTTTCACATTTTTTATTTCCAATTTCTTCGATACAGTGTAGGCTTCGGTAAATCTTTTTTCTGGTCACTTTCACTTATGAGGTTACTCCAGCTGCAGGAGATGAGTCCGCATAGCTCACTGCGAAATACAGCGTGACTTACTTCGTTGAGGCAGCTCCCTCGTACCATCGTGCGTCCAGGCCGCACTCCAACAATGTCGGCGTGCAGCGTGTCGTCGCGATGCACAGAGCTGCTTTCCTGTTTGCAAAACACATCTAAACAGCTGTAGTATATATTCTGCTGATGAACTTACTATTTGTGTCGCTATGGTCAGACGGTTCCCTGACCCGCGTGGGATCAGCTACTGAGTGCAGCCAGCCGGACGGTCAACTGTCCCAGAGAAGTGCTCAGTATTGTGTTTTATTCTGCATACTCGGCGTGGATCGCGCATGCGCAATTAATACCCCAAGAAAGCAGCTTTAAAGAACAATCCATGATTGTTCTTTATTGGTTTTGAATATCACATGGTCTGATATCGAGTGAATTGTGAAGGTGGCAACTGCTTTCTGGCAGATTGGAATCACTAATGCTATTCCCCCTCAATTGTGGTTGTCACTTTTAACATCTGTAGTAATTGCGAGTGTGTCATGCAAATATCAAGAAAGAGCTTAAGAGGCCTTGGCTACAACAAATTGGCCAACTTACTGATTGGGAAACACTTCTTAAGTTGAACGGACCACAAACCCCTTGTTCCACTGCTGGGAGTAAACACCTGGAACACTCTCTCCCAAGATCGCCTCCACCGATTTTGACACACGATATCAAACTAGTCCCAGGTAAACAGCAGGAAGCAGCCTCACTCCCAAACTAAACCCCCTCATGAACCCAAAAATGGCCAAGCCTTGTCGAATATACGCACACACCACGCCCAAACAATGCTGAGTGTCACGCACCAAAACCCGAGATCAACACAGAGGACATTCATGATTCGTTGACAACCGAACTCGTCCCTCCACAGCCACGCCACTTCCCCGCGCTAAAACCGTGAGCAAATCTCATTGCATCTCTCCGGTGTTTCTGCATATATATGGAGTCGAGTGTATAGTAGTACTTACAGCGGTGCGCAGGACTCGACGGACATCGTCATGGAGATCGGCGAGACATACTTGAGCTAGAGTGCGGCTTCAGCGATGGCCACAGCCCACAGGAGAGTGATGCCCGTGGGGCAGCAGCATGGCAGTCGGTCGACATCACTTTCACGATTAGGCGGCGATGCTGGTTTATTTAAAGGTCGTATATGAAGCCGTTTGTCCAATCGCCGCAAAATCACCTATGTTTTGGGCATACACTTGTCTAAAGATGAATGACATTGCAACTATCGAGATGCAGTGTGGTAGACGATCCCAAAAAATCCTGCTTCATGTTTTATCAGTTCGTTTAAAGCAGAGTCCGGCCCTCACATGGGGAGAGATTGAAACAGCGCTCAGGTCAGAAGCTTAGAGGTGAGCAGAGCAAGCTAATAGAATAAGGAAGGTATGGCCCCACGGTACTATAGGCTTGATCCCAGCCTCTCACGGCCTGACTCAGCCCAACAGCATGGAGCACAGAAGGACATAGCGTTGCAAAGATCATGCCAAGACGCGATGAGTTCGTGACAAAGTACGTGACGATAACGAACGGCAGAGGTGTAACGAGGTGAGGTAAGTGAAACAGCAAAGCCACACGAACCCCTTAAGGGTACAGGTGAAAATAACAGTGTGAAACATGCAGAGACAAGAAACAGAGACTCTTCAGACGTTTGTCAGCGGCAGACCCGATAAAGAGCTGAAACCTGCGGTTCTTCAAATCAGGAAGTGGCGAACACCATATTTTGAGCGCTTCTTTGGCGACTACCTGTTGATGAATCTCCAATCCAGTGAAAACGTGCATGCTGAGTTCAGAAGAAAGGTCTGATATCCAAGGCAGTAATAGAAGACATGATTGAATGTCCACCAAATCTCAACAAGAAAAGACTATTAGTTTAGTTGATGCAGTCGATGAGACAGTAAAGTCAAAACCTGAACTTCTTTTTGTGTTCATTGAAGTACTATGGAGGATGAGGCCTTCAGACAGTAGGCAGAGAAATGTCGAAGAAACAGGTAAATACCTCAGATTGCTCATTGATAACATGATATGCACTCTCGTTCTTACAGGTAATGCTTATCCTGACAGAACCCGGGCAGATTCTGTGTACGAGTGTTGTTCTGAGACTATGGCTCCAATACACATTTAACGAGTCTCACAGAGATGCAACCATGAAAACATCCACAGGACGAGGAAGGGCAGACAAGAAACAATGCAACCACAAGTTGGAAAACTGAACTTAAGAGATTACCTCGCAGTAATAGGTGTGATGGTACAAGTCAGTCAGGTTTAAGCCCAGTGTTGCAAAGTATAAGAGCTACTTGCGGTCTGTTACAATGCTAGAGCCCTAGCTCCAGCAGACAAGTACCTTCCCACCCTAGATGCCCCCCTACATTAATCTTGCCATGATTATAAGAGACGTTAGATACTGGGCTAAAGATGAGTTTACCAGGAGAACATTGCATGGAGGAGTAGACCAGATCTTCAGAGCAAAGTACCTATAAACATTGAAGACTTGGTGACTACTGACTGGAAAGACGACTATCTGTTAATACAGACATATTTAAAAGCTCTGATCCAAAACCCGGCAAATTTCAAAGAGGTATGCCTGTCCTGAGGCCCAGAAACAGTAAGTAGGCCAGGTGCTTTCATTCTGGTAGAAGGTCCACCAGGAATTGGTAAGAGTACCTTTTCCTGGGAGGCATGTAGGAGATGGGATGGATATACAAAGCCTTAGATACTACCACACTCTGGTACTACTAAAGTTGAGGGAAAGTGGGGTCTTAAATGCACATCGCTTTCTGATCTTTTCAGATACCCAGATCAACCAGTTTTAGCAAGGATATTGCACAAGAACTGCATGATTCCCATGGTCGCAACCTGTTACTGGTTTTTAGATGGTTTTGACGAAGTCTCTCACAGTTTCCATGAGGACTCCTGTCATAAAAAGCATTCTATGCAGGCAGCTTTTGCCAGAATGTACCATCATTCTCACTACTAGACCAGTGGCCAAGTCAGCACTCAGAAGTATCTGCCAGCCTAAAGTTGATAAACATGTAGAAATATTGGGTTCACAGAGGAAGAGAGAGTGAGGTATATCACTGAGGTCTTTAGCAGAGGAAACCAGAGCTTCAGGCAAATTTCTTGAAGTACATGTTTCTTGTCCCTCACATAAAGTCAATGATGTACATTCCACTCAACTGTGCCATTATAGCACAAGTCTATTACGAGTCTCAGAGTAGCCGCCACCTCACTATATACCAAGAACAAGAACACAGCTCTACAAGGCACTCACTAATTTTCTTCTCGTCAGACACATGAGGATGAAAGAACCCAATCATGAGTATACATCTATGCTTCCTGAGGCTTAAACAAAGAGGGAAAAAGTAAATTTGAGGGTTTTGACTAGATTTGCTTTTCTTACCTATCACCAAGGAGGATTGAAGCAGGTGACATTTTCAAAGAGGACATCCCTGAGGGATTTGTTAGTTTTGGGTTCATGAATGAATCTACTGAAATGTATGCTGGCAAAGGAGTCGAGCGAACGTTGTCATTTCTCCACCTCAGCCTACAGGAATACCTGGCAGCTTGGCACCTTGCTGATACCTCAGCATGAGTTTCAGGTAGCTTATCATAGGCTGGTGTAGATGAATGGGCTCGTTCCCCAACAAGGGTAGTAACAAACATGAAGAGGCTCTCATATCATCACTAGAGCAACAGAAATCATCACTAGTGGAGCCAAGCCATATTCCTCGCTGGTATCACTGGCTGGAAAAGCAAGTCAGCTGGTGACAGCCACCACTGGGAATCATATCTCAGTCATGACAAACCGCACATATTGAGGATTCCAGTGTGTTATTCTGCTCTCTCTATGAGGCTCAAACCCCACTATTTTATCCCACTACTCTCCCATCCTATCCCACTGATTTCAAGAGTAACACTCAATCAGAAGAACAGCTCTCGCATTTATTCAAGCTAACACAATATAATTGTATGCCTTTCAATAGTCTCGCATATTCCTCGGTCAAGCTAAATTGTGTGTTGATCTCCAAGAGGGTGATACTTTCACTTCTAGAGACATTCGTCAAAGGTCTTGACGATCACCGCAAGTCTGCCACACCAAGTGTCAACAAAACAGTTGAAGTACGGTGTCTGTATTGGCTAGTGAAAGGAAACCGTGAACTCGAAGATATTAGACAAACTGAATATTTTGCAAGAAATCATCTGATGATCTATTACAAAAACTCGACACAATACAATTTCTCTATATTAGCACTACCTGTGTACCTACGACAACGTGCATACCTACCACCACCATAACCTGCATGCTTACAGTACAGCAACCGACCGCAAGATGTGAACCAACAGGAATATGAACAGCCAACACGCAAATAGTTACACTTGTGTGCAATGAAAGTTGTTGAACTCTTAAATACACTTTTGTCATTTAAAGTGTAGGCAACAAAGACATTCCCATTTCATCAAAGAAAGAAAGGAAAGTAAAGCAAGTCGTAACAATGCCTTTAGAAATGTGTCATGACATGACCCAAGATGACTCGCACTCTATTTCTATTCTGTTCTCGGGTAAAAATAAGGATGAGAGCGAAAGCCATGTGAAGAGGAAGAAACAGTGATGGTCTTCTACTGCCACTCTGCCGAACAAGTCGAAAATCTCATTTGTTACTTGTACAAGTGGAAAAATCATTTCTTCAAAATGAAAGGGGGATATAGGGATGGCTTGAAGCACCAAAAAGGAAGAAACAAGGGGTCATCACACAGCAAAGTTGCACAAAGCTACATGACACCATCCCTATATCTTTGTTCGATATTAAACTTTGCTTATAAACAATAAAACAACGATATAGGGATGGTGTCATGTAGCTTTGTGCAACTTTGCTGTGTGATGACCCCTTGTTTCTTCCTTTTTGGTGCTTCAAGCCATCCCTATATCCCCCTTTCATTTTGAAGAAATGATTTTTCCACTTGTTTCCACTATTTTTTAACAGCTTATGACAACACTGCATTTATTGCTACAGTCACTCTGATGTTCATGGGCATGTTGTAGATAGGCTACTATAGACAAATTGTAACTGTAGTAGTAGCTAATGGGGCTGCTAGTGCCTGAAGCAGGGGCTGGATACCACATTCACCTCGTCTTCAACACGGATGTAATTAGATTATTGTACATGGTTGTGGTTTCATGGGCAGGCTCTGGTAATCAGGCTACAAACCTTGGGGGC